CTTCTTTCAACAACTCCATTTTGTTGTGGGTGTAAGGAGCAGAAAAGTTGTGTTCAATGCATTTGTCAGTAAGAAACTTTTCAATCGTGACATTAGTAAATTTAGAACCATTTTCACTACAAATTCTTTGAATGAGCAGCTTGGTGAGAACCTCAATTTCATTAATGAAATTGATGAGCTCAGAAGTTATTTGCGATTTCAACCTCGGAAAGAAAATCCAAGTGAATCTTGTGTAGTCATCGATAATCACGAGAATGTACTTTTTGTGATGCAAACTTTCAATAGCGGACGATTTATAAAGATCAATGTGAAGAAGCTCGAGGGGTTCCAAAATTGACTTCTCAATAAGAACGGGATGAACTTTCTTGGATTGCTTCCCATACTTGCATACAACACAGAGATGATCATTTTCAAACTTAAGGAGTGGAAAATGGGAGATTTCACAAGAAACCAAATCATTAATGTATCAGGAGTTTAGATGAGCAAGCCTCTAATTGGGTAGCCCAATTACGTTAGGAACAACTTTTGAAAGGAGACACAATTGAGGCTTCCTGATGATCATGTTGATATCTAGAGGATACATATTCTTGTTGTGATTTGACTTGATGTGAAATTCTTTTCTATCTTCCATCATAACATAGCTATGCTTCTTATAAAACTCAACCCTCCAAATCGCATCGGTGATTTGGTCCAGACTGATCAAATTATGATTGAGATTAGCAACAAAAGCCACATTAGAGACTGATAAAGTTATGTTGGTTAGCATATGTAACATAACCACCATCTGGAGTAAACTTTAAATCACACAGAAAGTCTTTCTGCCTAGCTATGTGCATGGAACAAACACTATCAATATACCATATTTTATCTTGTTCTGACGCACAAAAAGTCCGCAAAATTAGTGATTGGTGGAGTTTCTAGGCTCCGATTTAGGCTTGGGGACTTTGGAATGGGCTTTGGACTTTGTTTTAGGTTTATGAACAAGTGGAGTCTTGGAGTGATCTTTCTGAGACTCTTTTGGAAAGATACAAAATGACATTGTCTTTTCATTGATCCAAAAATTATACTCAACACTTGGTTGTTTGACAAAAACTTTTCTTGGAGAAACAATATTCTGAGGTGGTTTAGAATGAACCAATTTTGAGATGGTTTACAGTAAACCAAATTTCGAGGTTCATGCTTTGGAACAATAGTTTTTCCTTTTACAATCCATTCAAATTTCAGATTTGAACCTTTGGAAGGTTTCTTATTAGAAAAAAAAATCCGAGTATCTTTTTGTTTGTTCATTTCCTTCTCTAGCACACTGGATTTTTGAACCTTTGAAACATGTTTTGGTTTGAAAATTGCGCCATTAAAGGTAGAAATGAACACTGAAAAAGACACTTTCTGAATTGAATTATCTTTCAATTGAGGATTTACATCATTAACATAGAACGAGTGTTTGAGCTAATAGGAATAAATTGTCTATTAAGAATCTTAACAAGCATGAACGTGTTGTTATTCCTAGTAGCTAGATTGGAAACTTTTTGAGGCACTTTCTTATCGAATTTTCAAGGAACCTAGAGTTTTGTCTAGTCTTAGTTTCTTTCATAAGAGCTTTCCTAGCCTCTGTCTTTGGATGAACAATGTTTTTTTTGTTCAGCCACAGTTTCTTCTTAGAGTCAGATGTTGACTTAGAAGATTGTCCTACAGATGGATTTGTGAAACAAGGCTTGATAGGAACTAAAGTGCTCTTAGAAACAACTTTTGAGTTTGACACAATGGAATTAGACGTTGTGTCATCATCACGCCTAATTTCTTCATCAACATCAATATAAAAGGAATCCCAAAATGAGTTAGTTTGGTCCGAGTCATGTCTAGGTGTCTTAGGAATGATTTTCTCAATAACACAATTGTTTGGAGGACTAGAGTTCAAAATGTAAACTCCAATAACACCTGTGTTATGTGGAAGTTCCGAAGATTGATTCAGGTCCAGGGATATCTGAGGCAGAAATTTCATGGAATCGAGACATGTAATAGTGATTGGTTTGAAGTCTGGAATCAGATATTGATATTTGTTTGAGGTCTCATGAAGGGACAAAAATGGTGAGACGGGGGTATCCGAATAAGTGTGATTCAAAATGTCTATTGTAAATATAAATTTTGAAGTTCCTTTAAGGGACGAGCAACTGGTTTCGAAAGTTCACTGCCTAGACCAAGTGCTTTAGACCAAGGATGAAGAGAGTTAAGAGTCATTTTTTATTAGCTTCAAGAACATCAATAGAGTTATGCAACCTATTGGTTTTAGCATTAAAATGGTTGTTATCACAAAACTTCACATTTTTCATTCAAAATAATACACTCATCTTTGGCCATTACAAGTTCTCGTTCTAACAATTCAATCTTAAGCTTGTGGTCTTCAAATCGTAGTCTAAGTCGGGTAAACTTACTATCCAACTTCTCACTAACTTCTAAGGCAGACTCATATGCTTTATAAATAATTTTCATATCTGGTTGTATTTGAGTTAGATAAGGTTCACATACAGATAAATCAAAGTTATTGTCACTGATCATAGATCTTACCTATTGGATGATGCTTCGTACAGGTTGATTGTTGGATGCCATGTAGTAGTAATGTGGTTCAACATCTTCATCATTATCTTTCGAACCACAAGACCAGTAACCTTTATCACACTCAATTGTTTTTTTATCCGTTATACACAAGTTTCTACCCATATTTCCTTCATCCTCATCACCCGATGACCAATACCCATCAACATTTTGCGAAACACTGGTGGCAAAAGCCTTTTCACTCTCTGCTCGATCCTGAGCACGTCGAGCATAATAAGCAGTGTCTTTCACCTTTGGTTTTGGAGGTTCATCAGCCAAGCAGTCCTTTGCATAATGGTTAGCAAGACCACATTTGTGACATATAATCTTTGGTTTGGCTGATTTTGGAACTTCTTGAGGTTCCGACGTTCGATTCAGAATGTTATGTTGATAGGCAAGTGGGTTTTCAGTTGGCTTAGGATAAGGTTGAGGGTTACTTTGGTGAGGAGTTTGATAGCGGTTGTGGTATGGTTTTTTATTGGGATTCTATGGTCATTTGTATTTCATTGAGAAAAGTGCGAACTCTTGCTAGAAACGAAGTTCAAAAGCAACGGCTTCTGGATCAATGTTATCTTTACAAGGAAGGTTTGGAACATGTTTGGTAGTTTGAACATGTGGAACGGAGGGAGTAACTCCAAAGTGATCCAAAACAATTGGGTTTAGAACAAGTGGCTTGACGAAACTAACAAGTGCGAGAGGACCTCCAGAGAGTTCTCCTAATATATGAGCAACATTGGATTTTTGGCCTTGTAGTTCGTTGAACAACTGATAAAGCATCAACTTCTTCAGAGATCCATTACTCTAAATACATGATTTGATGTTCCCCCATCCTTTGCTTAGACTGTTGATGACCTTTAGGTTGTACTCAAGCAGAGTGCAAACACCACCATGATCAGTCATGTTGTTTACAATGATTCTGTACTAATTTGATGCAGATGCGACTAATTCACCAGTAGTGCTTGCAAAAGTGTCGAAGTCGTTCACCACTGATGTCTATCGCTTGTCCTTCATATTCTCTGAACCTTCAAACAAGTCTTGAAGTGTGTCACGTATCTCTTTTGCAGACTTACACAACTTAATCTTTTAAAAAAGAGATGGTGGAACACCAAACACCATTTTAGAGAAAGCAATCTGATCTACTTTGAGCTTGTCAATGTCATTCGTAGTGAGAGGTGCTTGTCTTGTTTCTTCTTGACCCATGATAATAGAAACAACATCTCTAACAACTTGTCTTACAGGAACATGAGGACCTTCTTTCACTGACCTCCATATCTCTTCACTATTGTCTTTTCCAACCAAAAAGCTCTCCATTCTAACTTTCCAATGATCATACTCTTCAACAACTAGTAGCGGTGCACAGGAAGGGTAACCCATGCTATTTGCGATTGCATTGAATACATTTGTTAAGAATGATTAGAAGCAGTTATTTATATTAAAATATTAGAACTGAAGTGGTATATAGAAGAACTTTTATCCTGAACACATAAATGATTAAGATACCAAGGTAATTTTAACTCAACTATAATCTGATCTTATGGATTCAAAGGACAACCATTTAGACTCTGATATCAATTGTGAGTGATTAAATTCTATTAAATGCATACAAGGATTGTGAACACAAATCTTGAATTAATCTTTAATATCAATGATTGCTAGTAGATAAGATCCGGTCAAACTAGTCAAGAGTTGAAGTAAACAACTTCAAAAAAGTATTCAAGAAGATTAAATAAAGTAAAGAAATCGAGAACAAGAAGAATTTATGAGAGATGATTGATAGAAATTTGAGAGTAAAGTGAATGATTATATTGATGCACAAAAGAGGTGTGTTAGATTGTTTTTTGGTACAAGGTTGACACTCATTTTATAGCTAAAGAACTCAATGCACGACAAATACATAAAATAGAGAGAACTTGCATCAATAAACAAAATCTTGATAAAGTGGTTTTTTTTTGTTATACTAAAAAGGAATACAACCAAAAGAAGTTTCTTCATGTTAGGAAAAGTTGATTACATTCTAAATCCAAAGCATCTCGAATCTAGTCATCTCGGAGTTTTGGTCTTTGAATCATCATTTCACATTTGAAACAACATTCTATCTCAGAGGAATGATCCCGTAATCGCTATGTCATCTCAGAATCGTAACCATCTAGGAATGGCTTCATATCCTAGATTGTCTAAGGGGCACTTTCATGTACTAACATTTTCGACCTTCTTCTTAAAAGTTACTAAAAGGTGTGTGCTAAACATGCCCATAGACTTTGCTTATAGAGGATTTACATCCAAAGTTAGATTTCTTTTGTTATAAAATCATATAAAAGAATTGAATTAACTACTACTGCACTACATATGCAAACGTTTCAGAGTTACTCCCCTGACTCTAAAAAAACGAGAGGTTTAGTGCATGTTTTTAAATTAGAACGAATACTAGGGACTAATCCAAAATAAATAATTATATCAAGAGTACTACTCGATATATCGACGTTCACCGTTGAATTATCAACATCACTGGAACAGTTTGCGGGTGCAATGGAGCCGGCGGTGGTGAAACTGAAAGCTATTGAAGCAACACCGGAGACATTCAGAGATTTCGGACAAGTGATTCAGGCGTCGCCGGACGGCGACGAGTTCGGTCCTCACGATGCTCAACTCGACCTCTCCCAAGGCACTCCTAGGTACACATCTCTTCTCTCTCTGCCAATTCTAGGGTTTTCTTTCCATTTCGAACATCGATCAGTAGTACTACGTAATTCCTTCCTTCCTTACTAGAATTCGAATTTGCTTTTCCGATTTATAAAACTAGAAATTAAATTTACAGATTCTACATCATGAACCTTGAAGCTCGGCCCCTAAAATTCTCGACAATAACACATCATGCTAGTGTGACCCAGTGCTTGGGTTCAATCGGCGGTGGTGTTTGGTATCTCGGAGTTGCAAAGTCATCCATAGTCGATCCAAATGTTGAATTAGACAAGAAGAGTCCGAACATTTTGCAATCACGAAGTGGTCACTTCTTTATACCTCCCGCCGTTGACGGTGTTCACGTCTTCAAAATCACCGGTCCAAAATTCCTGAAGCTTCACCGGGGAACTTGGCATGCCGGTCCTTTGTTTAAGCCGGACTCCATGGATTTCTACAATCTTGAACTCACCAATACTAATGTAAGTATTTATGCAACCACTTCTGAATTCTGATCGACACTTTGGCTTTTATCTTTGTGAAATTACAAATTCTAATTCTCATTCGTGTGATTGTGTTTTGTGCAGGTGGTGGATCATACAACCCATGATTTCAAGAAGGAAAACGCAACTGTATTTGTGATAGATGATGAGTAGACAATTTGATTTGATTTGTATGAAATATGTATGAATACTCAGCTTTTCTTAAAGCAAAACAGTATAATAAAATAAGAATGAAAACAAAACATACAAATTTATAATGAAACAAATCCTAATTTACTTATCTTCACTCGAAACACCACCTACACCCACCCCTTTCGCAAGACTAACATACTTCAACACAAGTTCCTTATATCGATCTAACAAATCTTCCACGTCACCAACTGTCAAATCACCCGCTTCCGAATACAAATACGGAAAATTCCGAAACTCTTCAATTCCATTTCCGTCTTTTACAATCATATCCGCCCCTTTATTCTCCAAATCTGAAACCGATAAGTTCTTTTTCACCGATGATACTTCCTTTTCCTTATCTTTTTCTTTTTCGTTTTCCTTTTCGGTTGTCGATTCGCTATTCTCAGATGACATACTTTGACCAATGTTTTGACCGGTAGTGTAATCGGTGGATAGGCCATGAATAAGTGCTTGAGCGGATTCCATATTCTTCTGAAACTCGGTTTCATCCATGGAAAGCGCTTTGGCATCTATGTTTGTAACAAAGGCTTCAGCAGACAACATGTTTGTAAAGAAATAAGCCGCTTCTCCAACTAGTCTGGATTCGCATCTGAATCGTTGAATATACAACAAATTGGAATGCAATTGAGGAGGGTTTGCTTTTATGGTAACATAGATTAAAACCGGGAGAAACTCATCCGCTCCAGGAGGGTTTTCATTAGCAGCAACCGAAGCATTAAGCAACAAGTTACTAATAACTTTACAGCAACTAAGTATGCAAACAAGTTTATCTCGTGGGGCTTTATAGATATTGATTTTTTGAAGCTCCTTTTGAGCGAGGATCCACGAGGTTTCGTTTTGGTATGTTGGTTGGATATCTAAGTGTTCGGGTTTGATGAATTGTTGGAGAAGAGATAATTTTTGGTGGAGATTTTCATCTTGTTTGATGTCGTGTTGGTGTGAGGCGAAGACACGGGGGAATAATTTTGTCATGATGTATTTTTCAAGGCCTTCGCCTGCGCTGTCTAGTTCTTCTTCTGACCCGGTTGACCACAGCGGGTGGGCCCGGAAAGAGGCTTCCATGTTGGCGAGGAATTGTTGTACGGATGTGCTGTCGGTTTCGGGATCTGGAGGTGTGTTTGAGATTGATACGATGAAGGTTTTGATGGCTCTTACAAATTCGGCTGCTGATGGGTGTCGCATGCGTTCCAGGAAGTCGTGCCATGTCAGCGGTGCTGTTGAGGAACTGAATGGTTCGCTGTTCTCCATAGATTTGGTCTGTATGCCTTAAGACCTTTGGGATTTTTTTTTCTGTAGCTTCTCCTGAAACCAGAATAGCAACCTCATAATTAACTATCTGATTATCATTACACAAGCTTTACTGCTGTAGTAACCTATTCTGCTTTAGACCACATAGTGTTAATTTGACCATGAGTATGTATAGGCATGAGTCATGACAAGATGCATCTTTGAGTTATGCCCTTATACTATAAAACTTTAGAAAGTCTTATATAGTACTTTAATATCATCAAACTACAAAACAATTATCAAAAATACTAAAACTTGTAGAGAGCAAATTGTATTAAGATCCTATACTGCTACTTTGATAGTTACTGCTTAACAAACCAAAGGAATGATGAGAATGAAACCTAGACAGATGGATAGTCTTTAAATTGATTAACATGAATTTTTAGAATTCCACATAAAAACACTTTAATTACCTGAAAAATAGTTAACCTGGCTAAAAATTCGTGTAAATTTAATTGCATTAGCTTTAGCATACCGAAACATTAACACAGTTCAGATCAATGTAATTTTGGCTAACTTTCATCGGAAAGTCAGAGAGTAACGATATGGATATTACAGCCAGCACCTAGAATATAACTACAGATAAAACGAATTACAGTAAATGTATGGGCAATCTCTGAATCTCGAACAAGAGTGTGGTATCATACGAAGTATACATCTAATCGTGAAACAAAATTTTATGAAAAGCAAATTACTGATGATGGCATAGTCAAAATACCTGGTGATTAGCGACTGAAGACGCTCCGAGACATAAGCAGGATTTAGATCCCAATTCCAAAACCCTAACAAGCGTTCAGAGTCAAGAAGGAAAACATCAAACCCAAGTAGGATCCATCGAATCGCAGATGTTGATGAATGTATATTTTCAAGATAGCCCCTCTCCTTCAAATCTTTTCATAAGTGTCCGCGTTTTATGCATTGTAAATATTTTTTTTGTTTTCTACTGTGTATGGGAGTGATTTTCAAAGGGATAATGAGTGGGTAATATACTTTTTTTATTCCTATATATATATATATATATATATATATATATATATATATATATATATATATATATATATATATATATATATATATATATATTTTATATTTATCACATTAACTTGTTTGATACATTTAGATGTTTGTTTTTTTAACAGATCTTCTTGATCTCTTCTGTCTGTATCATACAGACCACGCGTAGATATTAGTTTTCGCAGACTATTTGATTTTTTTGAAGACTGCAGACATAAAAATGTTTGTGCGCCCTTTTTTTGGCGCAGATATGGACCAGAGTCTTCTAACATCTTCAGACATCTTCTAGACTAAATAAACACATATATATTTATCTATTTGTTTTAGTTTTTTTTTTAATTTATATTTATTCCAACTTTATCAATGATAAACAATATGAAAAAAAAAAATTCCAATACTAAAAAAAAAGATTTGACGACACAAACATTATATTTTTGACAAATTTATTACAATAATGGTCGTTGAAGTTGTTTATATAAATATGAAAAAGAAAATCATAATACATTCTTATATTTTTATGTCAAATTTTATAAAACATTATTTAATATACTATCGCCAATTTTTAAAAAAAATATTTATGAGACGTTTTTAATTGATTTAATTGAAAAAATCAAAGTTTATTTTTATCCATTTATGTATCATATTCTTTGATTCCTAATTAAAATGTTTAGGTATAAATTTGCGACAAAAATTATTGGTTTTTAATTTTATCAAATATATACGTTAATTTGTATCATTTTTATTTTCATTTTGTATACAATAATACATAAAAATTGATCTAGATTTATTAATTAAAACCAAATATATAAACGTTAATTTGTATCATTTTTATTTTTATTTTTTATATAATAATACATAAAAGTTGATTTAGATTTATTAATTATTTATAACAAAATCATAAAAATCTTAAAAAATCACTTTGTAGTTTTAAAAAAATCGATTTATTTTAATAGCCTGCAGATATTAAAAAAACAAACAATTTTCTTTTCTTAGATTGTAAACGTTTGGTCCATCTCTGCTGTTGTAGAGATCTACAGATGTGGTCCGCAGACTGTAGACATTTTGCATCAGAAAAAACAAACAACAAACAACACCTTAATCTTTATGATCGGCTACTTCAGGTAAGTTGAAAAAAATAACTTAAAATGTGATATATTTTTTATTTTGTACACATTTAGTTTTTAATATTTTTTTCACGTTTAGTCCTTAATATTTTTTGTTATAAAATAAGTCATTATTGTTTTTTTACACATTCTGTATTTATGACCAGTTTTTTTTAGGTTTTTCTCTCAACATACTAAGTTGGATAATCATTAGTAAGTTATACGGGGATGTTCATACTTATGGCTACTGCTGTCTCGGCTGCTTGATTGTTTAGTTCTTGTGGTTTCGTTTTGGTCTTGTGTTCCAAACGTCAAAACTTCTACAAATGGTCACAAATTTTAACGATCTTTATATCCACGCATTCGTATTTGAGTCTACTACAACTTTCATTTAGATCACTTCCGTTAAAAAAGTAATACATTTTTACTTACAATCTGTACATCTGTGAATATGAATGTATATATGAATGTTTCTTTTATAATATCGTAATGCTTCTTAACCACTCCAGCTACCATTTCCGTAGAGAATTAATAATTCCGCAGAGGTGGTACCCATTTTTGCAGAGACCTGCTCTATAGACCCATCCCGTCAAACGTCTAATTTTTGTCTTTTTGCACATGTGTCCAATTCCACAAAACAAAAGACTATTTCCGCAGAGGTGTAGCAATTTCGTAGAGTCTGTCTTTACGTAAACCTTGGTCATTTTATGAAATTCAGTTTTTGTTGGTCATATTTTTCAAACTCATTTCATATTTTGGTTATTCGACAAATTTTCCCTAAAATATTTAACTATTTTCATTTAATTTTATTTTAATAGAACTTGCTAAAATTTAGAAAAAGTTTAGGCTACATTACAAAACAATAAACATTAATTTAACCGTAGTAGATTGTTGAAAAACAAGTTTTTTTAATTAGAAAAAGAATCAATTGACTTTAAACAAACATAAATTTTGCAATTTACAAATCACTTATTCATTTATGTTATATTTAACAAAGTGATTCTTGAAGCGCATAGAGACGTATCCCGCATTCCTAGCTAAGGTGAATGGGATATCAAATTTCTAAATAAGATATTTGGATTGGATGATGTAATTTAAAACGAAAAATTAAGTTGTCTCATAAAGGATCTCTTATCATAGTTGAATGGTAAAAGTTCATATATGATGCATCACCACACATTCATGTGTGTAGAGATGGTTAGGGACACACATTATGTCCATGTGAGTGTTGTATGTAGATACCCTCTATACGTACATAACTAACTGGACTACTTGGTAGTTTGAGTTAACTGTTAAAGTTGTTTGGCAACTCGAGTTGATTGTGTTAAATTTTTGAAACTACTTTGTCAAGTTTACCTATATCTGATGTTGAATTTGTCCAATTTAGTTACCACCATGAATTAATTTTCTTTTTCAAGTATATTTTTAAGTTTGTTAATTCCCAGTTTTAGTTTTTTTAATTTAGGTTTAAAAAAACATTTACTTTCGAAACTAGCAGTGACAGATTCAAGTTGACTTCTTTAATATAAAGTGGGAGTTATTCTCATTGCAGTAGACATATTATAAAATATAGATAGTAGACATGTTAGAATGTATATACTATAGACAAGTTAGAATGTATAAAACAAAGAACAAACCCACAACACATAAACAATCAAAGAACATGTTGATATTCAAGTGATATGTTCATACAAGTTTGTTCCAAATATGGTAGTACTCATAGAAAACAAATGTAATGTAGCAAATATGTTTCAAAGGAATCGTCTCCAACATTAGTCTAATCCATTATTTTTCCATTTTCATTTTATGTTTTTTCTTTCCTTTGTAATATATATATATATATATATATATATATATATATATACTTTGGAAGATGTGGAACAAATTAAAGAATAATTTTCAAACAAACTTAAAAACATATTTAATACCTTTTAAACAATTTCATCTATGTTTTTATAATGGAGTAACATACTATGACGACTGTTACACCACATTAGGTACCAATTGTTATGGTTTCTTCCATGCTTTCTAATCATGTTAAGATGCCAAAAAAAACATTTTTGGTATGTACTTATAAGGTAGCGGTAACCACCATGAAGGTGGCCTAATGAAGGTAACTAGGAAATTAAGCACACCAAAATGAAATTGCCTTAGGTTTATATCCAACATGCTTCAAACTTTGGGTAAGCCATTGTTCAAGAGAACGATGGTAGGAGAAAACGTGTTTATACCTAGTGAGGTTATTGACCGACTTTTCTCCCCCAGTGTGTTAAAAGGGATAACAATGCTTAAATTGTGAGTACAATAGATGTTTCGAAGCATTCTATTTGTTTGTTGGAACAACGTATTGAGTTGGTTGGTTGATGTGCTCTAAAACCTATTTTGCAAAGCATCAACGAAAAAAAAAACCATGGGAGTCAATGGACTAAAACAAAGGATGCTTGGACCAAGAAATTATGGTAGCGTAATTCTTGGAATTTAAAATAAATGATCGAAAAACTATTATTAGTCAAGTACAATAAATCTAGATTATTCTACATGACTTCTACGCCAAGATAATTACCTATCGGATAGGTAGATTTGAAGAACTAATATAAAGGGAGATGATCATGGAGTAACTCATTTTTATGTTGTGAATACGGTCAAGAAATTACCTATCGGATAGGTAGATTTGAAGAACTAATATAAAGGGAGATGATCATGGAGTAACTCATTTTTTAGTCTTTATATTAAAGAATGAAACAAAATGGCTCTAAAAACTAGTTACTTTCTTGATGT